ATTTTCCAATCCAGATCCTTATTAGTTCTATTAAGGTTTAAATGAGATATTTAAGTGTGGCTGGTATGAAAACTAGCAGGTGTGTGGTCCTCTAGAACCAGAACTGTGAACCTCTGCAGTAGAGAACTGATGCTTTATTGTTTTACTGCAGTGTGGGCTACATATTGTAATGACTTCAGTCTTGCAAGACATACTGTAATACCAGCTTGAGGAATGTATACATGCACAGTATTGATGTATCAAGCTACATAATGGCATTTTTTTTTTAACCACAATTGATTAAAAACATCAGGGCAGATTCCATTCAAAGGTTATTGAACTCCTGGAACCAGAAAAACATATTTGATTGACACTTGGCTACAGTCACTTTGAATGAAATATTTTTGCCCACAAGTATTTGTCTAGTAAATACATTATAAAAATGAGTCACATTGGGAGTTATGTAAATTAATTGGTAATGCTTTAGTTGGTGTATAAGAAGTTTAACATTTAAAGGAAACATTTCCACATTCAAAATGTTTTTTTATATTCTAAGAATTAATATTATTACATTGTTTTTGTTACGTTTGATATGTGTAATTTTCTCCAACACGCTTCTTGAATTAATCTAATGTTATTGTTTGCTAATAAAGCTTTTAGGCACTTCATAATGGTTAATGAACCTGATCATTCTAAACTTCCTCCTGTAGATACAAGGTGATTCTACAATTACTTTAGTGATAGGTTTTAACATCTAAACCACAGTTCAGCCATTTAAATGCTTCCTTCAGAATGTTAGAGCCACAGTTTTACAAGGGATGACATTTCAATTTAAATAGATCAGGAAATTACTCCCTTTTTCCTGCTGTGCGAATCTAATCCCTGTCAGGATTATCCCTGTCTGCAGACACAGATTCCTTCAGAGGATTTAAATTCAGGCCCTGAATTGTTTGTTACAGATAGTGCTTTATCCTGGTGGGAAGGGAGTCACAGCACATTGAACTGAAGAACCAGAAGCACTTGGTTTGTTATGGCTTAGGCAGTTCTGTTGAAAACCCAGCTGGTAGTACAGACCCCATAAACCCACCGTTCATAAAAAATGGCTGGTCCCACAAAGTAGTGATTCATAGCTTCAGTCCTCCAGCTTCTTTTTGTCCTTATTTTATGATGTACCCACCCACTTTAGAAGCATCAATTGTTTTAAGGCTCATGTCTGTAGCAGTGACTCCCTCGTGTGCTTAAGCAGATAAGAATGATTAGAAAAAGAAAGGAGGCATTTGGCCATTCGGTTGTGAGTGGTTAATTCTTCAGGGGATCTCATCCAACCCTTTCTAAAAACAAGACAGGGTATCGGCTGCGCAGATGGGTTGTTTGTCTAGCCCTTGTCTCCCACAGCCTTTTGTGAAATAAAAATCAAATGAACCAGTGCAACTGCAGTTTGGAAAGACCTTGGTGTCTTTGACCAAGGGACAGGGAAAAACGCAAAAGAGGTAAACTTTGCATAGAGGACAGAGTTGTATGACTATGGCACCCGTGCTGGAGAATAAAGGGCATCCGGAGGATAGTGTACACAGCCCTGCTTTGCGAAAGGAGTGTTCCTGAGTATAGTGGACGCCTGGCAGCCGCTGTGGTGCGATGTCGATGTGCAATGTCGACTGGATACAAAACCTCTGCTTGCAGTGTGGCAGTTTTTTTGGACAGCATATTGCTCCAGAACCTAGTGCTGGTCACTATAATGGCACTCTTTTTAACTTGGGATTGCACAAGACTTGCTTTTCCAGCATGCCCACCTTTCATGGCATGTCTCTGAATGACATTGCTAGCATGGCATATCTTGTAGTGACATTGCTAGAATGGCACGTGTCTCATTGCCATTTCTAGAACGGCCCATCTCTCAGTGACATTGCTACAAGCCTGCAGCCTCTGTGCAGGAGTTGCTGTTTGCCAAAAGCTGTAGCAGTTTTGGCATGTGCCAAGCCTGCCTCAGTGGAGCTCTGTCAATTGAGTGTTGCCGTTTGGGGATTCCCAGTCCAGTGATGTGATAGTCTTAGGCTTGTGCTCTGTGATGACCTGTATACTGCTATAGGGTCCTTTTTTGGGATTTTTGAATGTTGTATTTTGGTATAATAAATTAGAATTATTTTCAAATCCTTGGATTTAAAATGTCATAAGTGCATTTTTATTTAAAAATGCTACATCGTTTTTAGTGTTGGGGGTAAACAGTGCTTAGAAAAGTAAACTTCCATCTTCACATTTTTTTTCCATCTTCACAATTGGCATATACTTTCTAAGATTTTATGCGAAGATTTCAGATCTTACAAAGAGAATCTGTAGGACAGCTTTGTGAAAAATATCAGATATCGACAGATAGAATTGTGTGTACAGTCAGCATTTCTGTGCAAACTGCTGACGCAGTGAAATACTTGTTTCTTGGTTAAACAGATAGAGAACCTGCAGCTGCAATGAAGGGCGAAACGTGACCTTCACAACTTGACTGTCTTGATTCAAACTCAATTACCATGCTGAAGAAGGGTTACTGTTTTAGCATAATTGCTGGCAATTCCAACCACTAGGGAAAGTAAATTTACCACTGGTCAGTTTAGGCTGACTGAGAAACCCTATCAGTCTGGAGTCTGAAGCAGAAGTACACAACTTCTGCTGATCAGGCTCTCTGGGAGAAGAGAGGATTTGGTTAGACTAGATGGTACCTTTCTCCTGTTTCTCCTGACAGTGTGAAGACATTTAGAATTAGTTTTGAAATATGATTGTCAAATGTGTAAAATTAGAAATAAAGAAACTGTTTTGAGCAGTCCTCTTAATTTTTTATGCATTTTGTAAATTAAATTGTGTGATGGACAGCTGCACAGCACATACTTCAAAGCTTTTAGTATAATCATGTTTAAAAGGTTTAGAAAACGATTTCAGAATAAGTATAAGTTGACACTTATGTCAGAAAATATAGTATTTGATTTGTTACTTGATTCAGTGGTGGCATATCACTGAAGAGTATTCTCAGTATTTTATTTACTAGCTTTCTTCACTAGTCCAGCAACAGTGTTGTCAAAACTGCAGTAAAAGACTGAAAGATAAGCACTACGTGAAGATCCTCTTGGCTTACATTTATTTACTACCATGAAGCTGAAATTTCAACGTTTCAAAGTGAAAGCTGCTGTTTTTCCACATGTGAAACCAAAAGAAGGTTTGGGTCATTCAGCTGGCCCAACATGCATCACAGCGCATTAAAAACTGAGCTGGAAGACCGCGTTGCTGATGTCTGCGTTGCCCGTGTCTCTCAGAGCAGCCTGGAGGTGCTTTGCTGCGTCGGGCACCTGTGCTCGTCTGCGCCACAGCTGGAGCATCTCCAGGATCTACTGGGGCCAAAACACACACACAGTCTCGTCAGCCACTGTACTTTACAGGGCTCCATCCCCTTTGAATTACTTCAAGATGTCAGGTGGTACCACGTCAGCAAATTCCAGTTCGAAATTGCTGATATATACATGTAACACATATTAACAGGAATGTAACAGAGATACCAGCTAACTCCGACTAATGGGCAATTGCTTCCTCATTAACAAAGCAGGATTGTTCTCATATATACTGTAGTACAAAGACTGCATTAATGTCTACTTCAATGTTAATAACTGTATTCGCAGGCCCCAAAACATTACTGATCACACATTTGGTGTTGCAAAGTGACACTGAATAACAGATAATAAACTTTTATATAAAATATTATAGATGGAATAATCTGTCACCTGCCATTAACCTAAGAATTAGGTGAATAATGAATTATGCTTCAGACTTAAATCAAGATTAGGGTTTTTGTATGGTTATCACATTTATGACATTTGCTACCTTGTATCTAAGGCGTTACCCATAAGTCTTCCATTGCAGTAATCCCCAAACTTCCTTGCGTAAAGCAAAATCCATCTGCGATGATCCTTCACACCGCTTGTTTAATAATTTCCAGGTACTCCCATCAGAACGCAGATATCGACTCCCCAACACCAAAACCAACAGATTTAAGTTCTCATTCATACCTGTAGCCATATCCTTACTGAACACTTGACCTTTCATGAAAATATGTATGTATATTGTTGTTTCTGTCTTTTTTTTCTTCTCCCCCCCGGGATAATAAAGACTCTCTCTCTCTCTCGCCCCACTTCTTAGATGTCTTGAGGTGGGAAACTGAGGATCAGGGGTCACCATCAAAGTCAAGACTTGATCATAGCCATGTTGTTTAGTAACTTCTTTTAGAAATGTTTTAGAGCAGGCATTCTGCTTAACTTGGGTAATTGCATTAGACTTATTTTCCCATGAGACCACTTGCAGTGTCAAAAGTAATTATTCTGAGGTGTACTAAACCTACCACGCTTACCCTAACCTGGGAATTACATGAGGGTGCACCACATGCTGACATAACCTGATGTTCGGCTCTAAACCTGTAGTATAACATTGTGCTTTCTTTTCTTTTCTTTTTTGTTATTGGCTTATGGTTAAAAGATGAAATGCAAAATCCCACTGGTTTTGCCATACTGTACCACTGAGGCAAATACAACTATCAAGCTGTACTTTAAAACATGTCATTTCTGAAAATGCATACATTACAATACGTGTGCTCTTTTATTATATGTGCTCTCTGCATCATTTAATTATATTGTTTTATAGACCCTAGTGTTCTCTTGTTTGATGTAAGAGAACTCCTGTCTAGTGTAAGGTTGTCTGTTACAACCTTTATTCTCACAAGTGGAATGGGGTTGTGTCTTTTTATACCTATCAGCTGTACTAACAAATGTGAATAATGAATATTTCCTGGTTCTTTCAGTATTTTTAGAAATTGGTTTTGGATAACAGTAAGATATCTTACATGATTTTACATGCTGATGGAAAAAAGAAACGCAACACCTCCTCCTCCACACTCTGGCCCTCCCATCTGTGTGGAACAGGCTGAAGAGTGACTCATCCGTGTAAAGGACCTGATGCCACCGCTGACAAGTCCATCTCTGTCTGGCCCAAGCCAGTTGGGTATGACATCTAGGAGGTGTGAGCAGAGGGCCTCTGACAGGTCGCCTTGCTCTAAGGCCAGCAGCATGGAGCCTCACTGTCCTGTCACTGATGCAGGCATTGTGTCTGCTGGCAGATTCAGCAGCAGTACGGGTGGCAGATCTGAAACAATCTCTCAGATGGACCAGTCTGATGTGTCGGTCCTGCTCTGGTGTGGTCACTCGAGGGTGACCGAATCTTGGACAGTCATTTGTCCTGCCGGTCTGCTGAAACCTTCTCTGTAGTCTGGACACAGTGGAGCAGCTTACTCCATAGTGTCTGGCAATGCTGGCACATGACATGCATGCCTGCAGCCTGCCAATGGCCCTCTCCCTTGCTTCTGGTGACATTCGAGGAAGTGTGGCCTTTTTCTTGCAGTGACCTAAGCTTTGAATTAAGGCCTTTTTAAAGGTGACCTAGTCAAGCATTGTTCCACCTGGACCTCGTTGGGTAAAAGTGCACCTAATGAGCTTTCATGTGATTGGCAAGTTGCAATTGCTCACTGCACAAGCTGTAATGCTGGTCAGAGGGCTTAAAACAAATTGACAACTTTTTGTAAAGGTACATAAGCTATAACTATAGTATTCTTATTCCAGAAAATGTTGCATTTCTTTTTTTCATCAGTATATAACAAGTCAGTGAGTCATAGGCTTTTACTAGACTGGCTTAAAATGTGTACTTTTATACTAAGACAGCACAAATACCCTTTAAAGCCAAAATTGTGTAAATAATACTTTATGGACCATATGGATTTTTATTTGCTGTTGAAAAGAGTAGCAGTGTTTTCATTCTCTACTCTGTAGTGCAAATGTGGTCTCTTAGTCTATGGGTTATGGCACAAAGTACAAAACATTTCCTAGACTTGTCTTATGATTGTAATGATATTCCAGTCAATATAAAATACAACAGCGAATGAGACCTGAAGTCTTAGTTTTATGGGGCTTAAAATTCTACACATCAGGTTGGATTGACACCTGTGAGGATGGAATGTAATTTTGTTTTTTACCCAGAAGCCACCAACTGCTCTTTTCAGTCTGAATAATTTCTCACTATAAACGACAGTGGTACGTAAGAAATAAGATACACTTTGCCTGGTTTTCTGTGTCTAAGTATTTTCTCTCCAAGGTTTGGCAGTCCTTCTCCAGAAAGCCCAGACAGTTTGCAAGTAGTTTCCAGTCTCTTCTGCGTTTGCTCAGCTCTACAGCAATGACATGAAGCTGATTGTATGTAAGCTTTCTGGGATTTTCAGTCGGAATGAGCTGCAAGAATAAAACACCAGCCATTAAAGTATAAAAGTATAATGTTAATAGACACCAAAGTTCAGTGAGTGGAACTGCCTGGCAATCCTAGGTTTGTAATAAGAGGTTTAACATGTACGTACTGTACTGCAGTGGATTCCACCCTTGTTCTAGGCGATGCCTGCTTTCATTTCTATTGAGTGGATAATCACGTGTGCTACAGTAAATGATGCATTTAATTGATCTGCTTGCTTTTGTAGAGTTTTCATTCACTGTTTCTGCACTAAGTCTTTGGTTTCAAAAATACTGCTCATTTAATGTGTTGTTTCAACAGCTTCAACAAGCACAATTTTATGCAGCCTCTACTCAGCTTGTTTACTAAGAGTGATCTCACTTATTTCTGTCTAGACCACTGTGACACAGGAAAGCAGCTGATGAGCAGACAGAGGGAAGACTGACAGTGTATCAGATCCTCCCACAAGGTTTTCCTTCTGCCAAGCGGTTCCATTGAATAAGGGAACTTCTGAAACTTCTGAAACTCAGAAATGAATACAGGGATGATAGCTCTTACAAATCTTTCAACTTTTTGAGAGCTTTTAACATTTAACAATATATCTCAGAAAAGTTAAATCAATTAGCCAGTGAGTAAGAAATCACTTAAAGCAAAAACCAAAAGGCAAACGAGTTCCCAGAACAAGGATTGGCCAACACTGCTGTACATTCATGGCAATATCCTTATTACGTAACACTATAGCAATACATTGCTGCATACATTACATTTTGCAGTACATTGCAGATTATTGCAACCCTTGTGTAAATCAACAGATAAAGGGGTTAGCCAAATACAAGAAACTAATACATGATAACTTTCCAGTGAAGTGTTTAGTGTTAGTCCTGTGGCCTGCCAATTGAAGTCATTGTCAGTTTATCAAAGGATTAATGGTGTTTTTATTCTGGTTTCCAGATGAGTTTGAAAACCTTTTCTGTAACATTAGTACCCACCTAAGGCTTGTTGACAATGCATAGTTGGCTGTTAATAAGGCCTATGGACCAGTTGAGAGCATCCCTTACCTTGATTATTTACATTTAATCAGCTTTAATGTTATCTAGCTAAGCAGGTTATTAACAGTGATTACTGAAAAGCATCAAGATAGGCCTTGCATGAAGTATGTGCATTACATTAATACTTTGTTTACATGGAGTTATTGTGGTGTTCCAAGCTTGCCCTATCCCAGTACTAAAACAAAGCATTAAGGACTGGAACATTGTCCATTGTATCCATGAATATTTACAATTATTAATGGATATTAAAGATCACTTCTTGGTAGAAAACTCAGTAGATTTGAATGGAAGGAGACACTCGTGCAAGGGGTACCATTGGCTAACCATATACAATTTCTGCTGTAGCCTCAGCTATAGATTTCATGTGTATAATATGAGTAAAGAAAATGCCTGAAGCACCTAAAGGGCTTTCTTCCTATTGGCTTTTGTGGTTAATAAGAAAAGGTACTTCATTTTCATTAGAGCAGTCACCTACTTGTCTTTGGGGATTGTGGTGCTCATCTGTGACAGTGGTCTTGTTTGGTAGCACTGGGAAGTGCAGTGAAGATTTAAGGGTCTCAACAGGGAGTCTTTTCAACCAGAGAATAAAATCATCTTCATCAATAAATCCTGAAAGCCAAGCACAGTCTATAAAGTTTATTTTATAGAGGCATGGGAACACTTGTAGGTTTTTTACTGTCCCTTGAAAGACAATGGTATGACATAGTGCAGTATAAACAGTAAAACAGGGGTCAGCTGTTTCTCAGAATGCTCTGTCCACTGGGGCCTCTTTTGTCTTTTAATTAAATTGAAATAAATTCTCCAAGTCCCAGCCTTGTTTTTTTTTTGTCTTTATCGATGAGCTTTGGTGTAATTCATTATTGTCTTTTCAACGAGCTGGATATCTGATAAACAATGCCATTCATGCCCTTTTTGTCACAATATGTTTAAGTGAAAGAATGGGGCTGGTGACCTGTGACATGACATTTCCTCCTCCCCTCCCTAACTAGAGCCAGACCAGTCATACCACACATCACGTTGAAGTCCCTGCTCATTTTGGTCCAGCTTCAAATAAACAATATGGCTAATACTTTGAGCATCAATGCATCACAATGATCCTTCATAGACCTTTCGTACTTTTATTTCAGTTTACATAGAGCATCACTTGCATTGTATTTCCATCTTGTGCTGGCTTTATCGTCTTTTTATTAATTTACATGATTGTTCCTTGTACTTAAAGAAAACTTCATTTTTATATATAGAAAGTTGTTCTAGATAATGGTGTCGTTTCATAGTTGGATGCAGTACAGTCAGATATGCCTCAGTCAGATATACTGATCTCTCTCTAATAGCTATTAGTCCTGAGTTGAACTCGTTTGATGCTGTCTGTGGACATTATATTTTGAACAGGTGCTTCAAAAGTGTCTGGAAGCCCTGGATATTACCCTTCAACCTGGTGGCAGTTGTGGCATTTTAGCCATGATTAATGCACCTTTTCCCTGGCTTGTTATCCCATGATCAAAATGTGTAATTATGTGATTTTTACTTGTAATTTGTGCATATATACTTCTGAGGAAAGACGGAATCAAAATAATTTGTTGTGTTTGTTTGTCTCTCAGTATACTTTGTAAAAAATCAGCAAAATACCAGGTGTTTGTCTGGTTAACACTCTGGGATTTGGCTTCATAAAAGATGGTTTAATGGTGAATTACATTATTAGTGTGATACAAACTGGAAGGAATGTATTTGTAGCTTTAGATTTAAAATTGGAGAAGGAATGTCTTGTGCTTTCTGTATAGTCGTTTTAGGGTTTTGACATACCTTGGTTCTTTGTGTCAACCTCCCTCATTATTAAACTGGAGAGTTGTCTTACTTCCTCAGGACTATCCTGTGGATACTGTACATGCAGAAGCCGTTCCAGGGCCTCTGTGTTCTGAAAGTAGCAGGCCAGTGTCTGATATAAGCCTGGAAGAAACAGCATTAAAGAAGCTCATTTTGAAGAAAGCATGAATGATTCCCAGCAGATAACATGCATTTTATATGTGTTAGGTGAATTAGTCTGCTTTCTGGTAAAGGCAGAGCTGTGGACTCTGAAGGGAGGATACACATGAGATCTGCACAGCCAGCTCATTTGTAAGGATCATAGCCAAGCTGATGGGGATGATTTCTCACATTGATCTTGGTGGGCTGAATGACCCAGAACACCTGGACATGAGACGTGTCTCTGATTACACAACGAGACTGGGGTACTAAGGATTAAATCTTACAGATTTGGGACAAGAAAACCCCTACTGCTCTAAGCCGTAGTCTCTCTTCTGATAAACAGTACACTATGCCTCAAGGTAAATGTTAGATGTAGACTTTGTATGGTCAGCAAATACTCGACTAATTAGACATTTGGGAGGTCAATTAATGATGCCTCGCTCCTCATTTTGTGCTTCATGGTATGAACCGCACTAGGCTTGTACAGGAGCAGATGTTAAAATTCAATCCTTTTTTGACTTAAACATCTTGACATTGAAAACAAGGGTTCTGCTGAAATGCTTCTAGCCAAGAGTCTGTCAATCACTGTATAGTGTTCTTTTGTTACACTTCACAGAAAACCAAAATTGCTGCTCAAGACCCCACAGGAATTTCTTATAATGCTTAGAAAAGTAAAGGTCTCCTTTGAATTGTAAACAGAACTGTATTTTATTAGATAAGGGCAGATGCTAAGGAAGTCATAATGAAAGCAGAAAATCCAGCAAACAAGGTCACAGAAGTAATTGCATGATATCTGTGAGGGACTGTCCGATCATTAGCAACTCCACTCAATGTCTAAAACCAGTGACTCAGGGGATTCTTTGTTGCACAGTTGCTTTATAAACACAAGCATTCAACATTCTAGTGATAGAGGTGGCACAGGACAAAAAGCTGCAATAAAGAAACAGCTTTCATCCTCCAGGTGAGGTTAATCTATTTTTCTATCTATGATATTTACTTATGTAAAACTGTAATGTGGTCCTTTTTAAAATCAAATGAACAGAATATCCCATTAATAGAACTGATACTGGAACAAAATAATTTTAATGTTCTTTTTTGGAAAATCAATTTGTGCATTTTCTGACCGCTTTATCCAGGACAGAGTCACTGGAGAGCAGAACCCTATCCCAGCAAGCAACAGGAGCAAAGCGTGTTACACCCTGGATGGGACACCAGTCCATCGCAAGGCATGCATAGACACAAACTTGCACACACTCACACCAGGGCTGATTTTCCCAGAAGCCAATTTATTTACCAGTATATCTTGGGACTGTCAGAGGAAACTGGAGCACCTACACAACCATGAGGAGAAGATACAAACTCTACAAAGTTAGAACCCTACAAATTGAACCCAGGGCTGAAATGTTGCAAGGCAGCAATCCCACCAAAGTGACACCATGCTGCCCTCTTTTTACCCCTGTAAAAATGTTCTGTGGCATTCTTTTTCCAGTTGTGTCATAAAAAGTGATAGAACTGATACTGAAACAAGGTGATTCTGATGGATTTTAGTTTTTGGAATATTAACAAGAGTAATCTCTGCTAATATATTTCATATGTATGTACATACAATAGAGAAGTCAAGTTTATTACCTCGAAGTTTGGTCTCTGTCACTGAGCTAGAAAGCCACTTCACAGCACAGCAGAAGGTCTGGAAAGTCACAAGACCATCTTCAGAGACCGGCAACTGCTCCACCAGCTACACACAGAGACACATGAGGCGAACGAGAGAAAAATATGTGATTCTTCTGCATTGGATACACAAATTCTAGTCCTGATACAGACAACACCATAAAAAGATGAGTGTGTCTGAAAACTACGTTTGCAAGCCTATGATCTCGAACCTTTTACTTTCAGAGTGCAGTCCAACTACACTGTGGTTGGTCAAGTGAAACTACTAAACAACAGGAACCAGAACTTAAAAGCTTTATCTACTGTACTGTAAATTGTTCATGAGCAACATCCACCCCAGTCCCCCAATAGATGTTGTCTTGTTTCAAAGAGTCAGGCAGGGGTCGGTTTTGCAATATGTCTGGATTTCTTTACAGTAAAAGTGGAATTTGATTTTCTTTTTTGCACGGTATGTTGTAACAATTAAATCTGAAAATAGTTTACAACCCAACCAAAATAGCTGTGCCCAACTTCTGAAGAGATGCAAATGTCATGCTGATAGATTTACTGCCAGAAATTAAACAAGATGTGTTATCCTTTTCCACCATCCATTCTTCAGTCGATGGATGACTGGGCAGCTGTTAAAAGCCATATTGGTTTTGGGATACATTACATTTAACAAGCTCTTTTAGGACACTTATTCTTCAGACTTCAAATGTAGTGATTAATATTCATATGAAATTGTCCAAATGGTGCAAAACAGCACAAAACTGGAATGATATAGAGAAGATTGGCATGATGAGTGTTGCTAAAACAAGCAGCACTGTGTCAGGCAGCAGGAAGGAGAACAAGAAAGGCTGAAGCTGAATCTGCAATCTATCAGAATCTCAGCATTACCCTAGGCTACTTCTCACCTTTAAGTGCTGATTTGTGGAGCTCCCTGTATGCTAAGTGATTATGTTTACAGTCACTACACGTTCCAAAATCTCTGTTGCAAAATAAAATGTGAAATTTGTTTATCCCTCTGTTTTCTAACCACTTTATCCAGTACAGGTAGCTGAGGAGCTGGAGCAAAGCGGGTTACACCCTCGATGGTATGCCAATCCATTGCAGGGCACATATAGACACAAACACACACACACTCTTGGGATAATTTTCCCAATTAACTGACTAGTATGTCCTTGGAGTGTAATAGGAAACCCACACAAGCATGCAGAGAACAGACAAACTCCATACAGTATAATGCTATTTTTAAAAACTCTTAAGTCTGTTAGAAAAGCTTCCCTGTTCAAATATAAAGCAATGAAGTTGATTTTTTTAATTGTGAGAAGGTGCTGTACAGTATGTATGGAAATCCATTATAAGCCCAATTCACACCTGTGAGTTGAATGCATCATTGGTTGTTAGGCTGTGGCGCAGGATATTTCCATTTTTGTCAGGGTGAAGCATCAAGAACCGTTCCCAACACCTCAGCACTTCAGGAATTGTCACTAACAACATATTTAGAACAGGAATTAAAACAAAAATATTAGTGGGATCTCACTCAAGTGTGTTACTCTGATGTGGCTTCTGTCACATTGTTACAGTAGCAGGTTAGTACTAATGAGCTGTTCTGGAATATCTTTAAACAGCAACAAGACCTGCACTGTAGCTTTCTTTAGTCTTATCATTTCATTTAGTGTGTCTTTACAAATCCCTCTGCCAGTTGCTTTAGTGTGAACCACTGCCAGTACAATTGTTCTGTAGCAGATACTGGTTATTATAAACTTACATTCTAATATGATGGCAGTGTTGCCATTTTCTAGCATATCTTGTCAGACTTCAGAAGACTGAGATGGGAGACCTCTAAGAAAAATTTGTGGTTGATATTGATGGACAGGAAGGTGGAATTCCTCCCTTGGGACCACAATTTCCAAACCAGTTTTCTGGAAAGATTACAGGGGACACTGTTGTGTAGGAAAAGCAATCCCATGGGTGAGAACTTAAAATGAGGTTCTGACTATGTGGTTGTTAAAGATATCCTGGCACTGATCATGATAGTAGGGCAGAGACTCACGACAACTGAACTTGAAATAGTTTAACCTTAGTCACACTCGGCTACAATAGTGTGTTTTTTTCAGAAATATGTTGTTTTTAATAAAAGGAACAGCAACTCACAAAAAGAAATGCATATACCCAACCTTTTGACAGGTAGGACCAAAGCTATGTGGCAAAGTTAAAATTATTTTTCATTTTGTATATAAAGCAGGTCAATGTCTTGTCACTGTCATGGTCTAAATTAATGTTACAGTATGTTGTATCACGCTGAAGCCAGAATGTCTTCTAGTAGTAAGTGTGTTTAAATGGGTGTGTTACGTCATTTTTGATGCCTTGATAAAAGTTGGTGGCGGCAGTGAGAGGAGTGGTTAGGCCTATGCACTAATAATGAGTGAGTGAGGCTTTGCTGTTGTACCCTTGAGCAATATACTGTACATCATTCATATTACTCCAGTTAAATGCCCAGTGTTTACTAGTACAGTATAAGTCACTTTAAATACAAGCATCAGGCCAAGACAATAACAATACAGTATTAATACAGTACCAGAGTTACGGTTTGTAAATTAAGGGCATTTGAACCTGGAGTGTTCTTCAACTAAGCAGTACAGCAAACAGTAATCCCTGAGGAGAATATTAGTTAGAAACAACAGAATAGGTTACGTTTTACAGTAAAAATATGGATGAACAATAAGAGTTTTCTTACACTTGCAGGCATCTGCATGAGCTGTGATCCAGTTTGCTTGTGAGGGATCTGTGGATTCGAAAAGTATTTGATCTCCACTCTTGTAGAAAGTGCTTGAGTAAATGCCCATGGTGTCAGAAATGGTTAGTTCAGAAACCCTAAAGAAGTAATGGAAATATAGTCATTTTTCCACCATATATAGTAATACTGACATGAAATTTGTTCAAAAGATTTTTATTATATTGATTGATTTGTCATACTGCAAATTGAATGATCTTCCTGTGCTGACTGAAAACAGGATAAAGCAAACATGTTTTTGGTTTTCATTGTTGATCAACAGATTAACTAACAAGATGAACAAACATGACAAATGTACAAATGAAAAAAGTATGAAAGGATAGTTGTTTAACTAAGCATTTTGACTGGGGATCCTTTTCAGCCTATGTATGCATTTATGGTAACTAAAAAAATGACAAAAGTAAACTTTTTTCTTTTGTCAGTCAGTGACAGATGTAACATCATCATCCATCCATCCATTTTCTAACCACTTCTTACAATTCAGGGTCACAGGGGAGCCAGAGCCTTTCCCAGCAAGAAATTGACGCAAGGCAGGGTACACCCTGGACAGAAACCCACGTGAACATGGGGAGAACATACAAACTCCACACAGACAGCACCCTGGAATTGAACCCTAGTGCTGCAGGGCAGCAATGCTAACCATAGCGCCACCATGCGCCTGACAGATGTAACAATTTGCAAAAAAATAAGACAACACAAAGTATTCATTGAAGATAATTAACGATATCTGGCTTTCAATATCATATCAGAGCACCTGAGATACAAACTTCACCTTTAGAAAATTATTCCTTGAGTCCTCGACTCCTTATGAAGCATAGCCTTATACGTACTTAAATCTTCAACAAAAAGCAATCAGGACATCATCTACTCACTCAGGGCACACTGCTCCATTTGTAATAATCTTAACCAACAGTTCTGATCAAAGCTATCTATGACTATTTTCCCTCAACTTCAAATACACAAGTGTGTCTGTTCAAATACGTCTTCATAAAGTTAAACAATTGAAATTAATAGATTTCCTCTGACTTTCTTTTAATTGTGTGGGTGTCTGCAGTTATATTTACATAGTTAAAAAATGTCCTCTGTTCTGGGATGTCCGAAATATTGAAATCTGTATATAAATCAGAAATCTTTATGGTAATTCAAATTGTATCTTCATATTTTCCAGTCGTGAGAAGAATAATTCAGATAGCGGTTTTGTAGAATTAGAAAATATAAGTACAAATTAAAAGCTTTATAGCTTTAACACAAAAGGAAGTAATTTATTCTATACAAAATATGTATTCAAGGTAAAATGACATCTAAGTACCTACATTAGACATCAAATTTAGGATCTACAACAAAGGCAATCTATTCTGAGTTACCCATGACCCACTGTGCATTTAGTGTGACAGTCTCACTACTGTACTGTATGTCATGTATTTAAAAATTAGGTAAACACCTTGGATACAGCAATAATATCTATTTCCCCTAATTCATGTTTCCCTGTAGTGAGCTTTAACAATATGAACTGGTACCTCATACCTTGTTATAAGACGCATTCTTACAGTTCATCCAAGTTAAAAACTGATCACTTTGCTTTCAAAGAGCAACAGACCTGTTAAATGTTTCAGCTGCTACCTGCAACCCTGGAGCTTCTTGGTGGGAGGGACTTGGTCTGTTAAACAAACTTGAATGTGAGTTTTAATTGGTGTAAGAGGAAATGCAGACATCTCCATGGTTACGTTTGGAGTTGTCAGGGAGTGGCCAGGCAGGTGTTAAAGTATTTAGTAACTTATTAACAAGACAAACTTGAACTTGTCAATTTTCTTTACTTAATCAGTGTAAGACGTTGACCATTTCAGAAAATGTTTATGATGATTTGTTAGCTAGTTATTGTTAATTATTTTGGTTATATACAAATAGTTTCACAGTGCAGAAATTGTTACTCCTAAGAAAAATGTTTATATTTTTGAAATGTTGTTTTCAATTTTTAAACAATTGCTAAGAAATTATATGTAGGCCAAATAAGCCTTGATTGAATGTGTACCCAGGTAACTCCCTAAATAAAGGAAACACCAACATAAAGTGTCTTAATAGGGTGCTGGGTCACCACGAGCGACTAGAGCAGGGACTGCAAATTGGCATTGATTCTACACGTCTGGAGCTCTACTGCAGGGATACAACACCATTCTTCCATGAGAAATTCAATTGGTGTTTTGTTGATGGTGGGGGGGAAAGGCTGTGTCAGGCACCAGTCCAGAATCTCCCGTAAGGCTGTAATTTGATGACTGGGATGGCAGGTATCTGTTGGCATGTACCTTATCCTCTGAGGGGTTGCATGGACCTAAGCCATGCCAGGGAAATGCACCCAACACCATAACAGAGTTGCCAGGACCCTTGACAGTGGGATACAGGCACTCGGGCCTGTAGGCTTCGTTTGGGGTGTGCCGCATGTGTACTCCTCCACTTTTTGAGAACAAGGTGAAGACCACTGCTTTTGTTCTTTGCACCACTGTACTTGCCAAAGTGCATTTTTAAGTGCAAGAAGGGGTTTATGTACTGCAACCTGACCATAGTATCCCTCTCTGTGAAGTACTCGATGGACAGTGCTACATAAAACTGCCGGATCACACCTTAGATTGATTGACATTTGCAACCAACTGTTTCAGAGTTACTTGTCTATTTTTCCTTGCATAGATATATCAGTCAAGGAGTAAGTGCTTTCATCCACTGTAGCGCTGTCTGGAAGCACCTGCTTTCAGTATACTTTGTATCCCCCATTTACTAATTTTTATTTTTTTATTTTGGCAGTTAACCTGTAGCTTCCCTCTATGGTATCGGGACCTTTTACAATATATGTTATCATATGCAATATATTTTGCAACAAAAATGACAAGCAAGAAATGCATTCTGGTTTTCATAAGAGTGCTGCAATGAATATTACAGTACAGCACTGTCCCTGTAAAATCCCTTTATATCAGTTTTTGGAATCTATCTCAAGAACTAGCCCACATAATGCATTTAAAAGGAAATGTAATTATTCTTCTGGGTACCTGCATTATTCTTTGATTAGTCTTTGTAATAAGAGGTCTGTTTTAAAAGTGGTTTGTCTGCAGTCTGAAGTAAGAGTCGTAGTTTAATATTCTCTTGCAGTGATGATGTTTAGTGTTTGGGAACTAGTATTCCCTAGGGGAGGATGGCATTGATTTTTAATTAGGAGACTCTTTGGCTGTAACTGTTATATCTATATCTTGGTCTGCACTGGGACATGAACATTTTTAAACCAAAGTTTCATCTCTTAAATTAAGGATGAAGAAGTGCTTTTGCATGCCCATCAGGAAGTCATATAATTGAGAGCAATCTAGATGGATGTCTAGGTAGAGAAGATACCCATAAACCTATCAAACCTTTCTTGGAGAGCTGTCAAAGGCTATCTTCATGCTGCTGGGGAAATTACAGCAGAGGGGGACATTTGGTACTACTAAAAAGTATTAGGATTTTGTGTAATGCAATCAACTTTGCCTCACTCAAAATACTCAAATTAGGGGGTGTCTAAGGAACACTTCTTGTAGTGTGAATGTGTGTATGCACTTCTAAGTTCTAAAATTTCGCTCATTCAGCAAAAGCTGAATGAGAGGAATTCTGTGACAGTCACTTCACAGAGCTTTCACAGGGGAAAAGTAAAATCCTCTGATGAGATACAGCAGGATTTTTTTTTAGTTTAAAATGTTTTACCAGGATTTTGTCTTCTATAATTTCTGTTCCCTTCTAACAAGACATAACTTAAAATTTATAGAAACTCTTCATCACCTACAGTAGACATTCAAAGAGTGGTAGATGTTTGACTTTTTATTTATCTCCCTTGTGATGAGAGGATGGGAAATATAAACTGGTAACTGAGAACCAAGCACCAAAGAGGCCAGGGGTGACAGTATAGCCTAGATTAACTTAAAGGTTTCACCCATCTCCTAACCACAAACAAACCAGGTACTTGAGGAGTTTTCTTTGTTTGCTATGTGCAGTTTTCTCATCTCTACCAAATGGATACCTATGATCAGTTACAGAGATTTTAAATAACTTTGGGATTAGTGGGTTCAGACTTAATCTTGAATTACATTTAAAAAACTATAAACAGTAATCCAATTGCTTTCCAAAAAGTGTTATTCTTAGTATTAATAACACATTAAAATATGTTTTCCATAAAAGAATCCAGAACATTTTATATAGTTATTTTATTGCTCTCTTGTTTGGAAAGAACTACTTTTTGCACTTAGTTGTAAAGACTAATACTGCATCTGCTATAATATACCCAAAAGCCACAACGTGTAGTGTTAATTGATTCATTTACCCATACAATAATGGTTTGACTGTGCCATGAGCATTGTTCTGTACCAGTGCTTGACAATATGACATTGCAGAGTATGGCCTTGTAAAAGTGTATTTATTCCATTTCATACTTTAATGGCTGTTTTCCTGTTCAAGAAAAAGGTGAAACTGTGACACTTCACATTCACTGAGTATGATGCAGAGGTTAAAGAAAAACTCAGAGATGTACTTTATTTGCTTTGAAATAGATTTGTCCTCAGTCCTAAAAAATGTATCCATTTCATTCAAGACTGTGAAAAGCTAAAAGAGGTCCCCAGAACAATGTACTGAATTTGAACTCTCCAACATCCTGTGGTTCTGTGTTCTCTACTAGGGCACTCAGTTTCATTAGTTGCATTGATAATACTGTTAACAGAACCAGGACAGCAAAATGATTGTGGATGAAAGATGTGCTTGGACTTTAACCAAATGAGTCTGATCTGGGATTAATCAGATTGAACACATGCTGGCCAATGACAGCTTGGTAGCTTGTCCAAACTGCAAATTTTATTAGGAGCGTTTGCCAAGGGGATTACATCTTATTAACCCTTATGTATTCAATATGAACAACTGAGAAACAAACACAAAACCCCTCTCATATTTAAGGGTATGAGTGTTACTACGCCATGCCTCCGGAGGACTCGTCATTCCACCTTGCATTCCAGAACAGTTCCCAAGTATCCCATTTACCCCAGCCTATTTAATGTTGCTTCACACACTCCCCTGTGCTCAG